GATAAGTTAATAGAAGAAAACCCGAAGGTGGCTATATCACACCTGGTACAATTGCTAAAAACGCAGCCTTTGCGCGTCAAGATCGATAATGATCTTCAGCTATCAAAAAGGAAACTACGAAAAGACTGGAAAGGGTTCTACAAGTATGTCGCCCAACAAGCTGTCTTTTGTGAATCTTTTGCGCCTGCCCGCCATTCTACTTCTGTCGGAAAATCATCTACAATTGATCGCCTCAATCCGCGTACGAACCACTATAGCACGGTGAAGTCCGGACCTTCCAAGTCCCCTGGATCTGAAACCACAACGAAATCTGGATTGTTTACAAACACAGTACCCTCTCTTCGTTTCTCAAAATCTTCTTCCCAATTTTCCACAAACAGGCAGAATCGCTCTGCGAGCACTGCCCCTGGTAATGCTATGGAACTCCCTCGATGTCTTAACGTCTATGTGTGTAATGAACATCATTTCGTGAAGAACTGTCGCAAGACCAGTACGGACGAAGCAAAACATTTGCTCAAGGCATTTCACGAAAAAAACTGTGCTACACGCTCAATAAGAGTGCTCTGTGTCCCATGAGACTCTCCGGCACCAGTTTCGGCTGTAAATGGGCGATACACAGCAACTTTATCTGACTCAGTGCCTATCGTTATTAATGGTGACTACGGGGCTGACCACTTTGCTTTATCCAACGATCATTTAAAACGATGTGCTTCAGAACGAATCTTTGTTCAAGTCTTGCCCCTAAAAGAACCGATTCCAATGCAATTGGCTCTAGATAAAGGTACAGAAGCGAAACCACGCACGTTCTATGCTAAGGCAAAATCTCGGGTCTCTACCACCATTCAGCTGGCCTCGGGCCCACTTCGTCTCCGAAACTTGGAGTACCTTGCTTTTGACGAGCATATGTCTGAAGTCATCCTGGCCCGGCCTGTCCTGCAAACCATCGGCTTTGATTTAGACAAGCATCTTTCGGCTGTTAGATCACAGTTCCATGACACGGACTTCTCACACGTCGGTTTTTCGCCGGGCGTCTACGATACCTCTACTGTTGAACCTCCCACCACTCCTGGCCATCTCTCTCGATTGCTATTCTCGAACTCCCGCAATCCCCCTGACACTGTAGGCTACGATTCCAGGTCCGAACCTGGGTTTTACGGTGACTACATGGTACAGGATGATTTAACGGACGACGAAGACGAAGTTCGTACAGGGGTGCATGTGGACACCGAATTGCAATCTGACCTCGAGGATATGCTTTCCGCAGCAAAATCCGCTGGACTACCTGACTCACTCCACGTCGGTCTACGTCAGCTTGTTCTACAGTACCGCGATATTTTCCGCAACAAAATGGGATCGGATCCGCCTGCCAATGTACCGCCAATGATTATTCGCCTCAAATCTGATGCAAAGCCTGTTCGCGTCAAACTACGCCTCTACTCACCACCACAAGCTGCCTTCCTGCGCAAGAAGGTCGACGAGTTGCTGTACCTCGGCCTCATTTATCGAAACAATACCTCGCAGTGATGTTGTGAGCGACGGACTGACTTGGCAGTTAAGCACTCAGAGGCGAAATTCTTGCGATCTTGCCATCAACTTTATTTGTTCGCAACTTCAACTATGCATTATCTAGACTACAGTTCCACGTAAAACCCACCTAAAATCGTAGAACAGTCAACACAGTGGCCACATTGGCGGGGACCATGACAGTAAGACAAACTAGAATCAGATTATACATTTCGAGTGCACACAACAGACATAGTGTACAATTAGTGGAGCGAGGACCATGGACACGAGGTGCATCGAGATGGCTCCGAGGACCAATTTCTCCACAGAAAATATTTCTCGACGCAATTGCAGGTGTGAGGACATCTACATCAATTACAATCAGAGTCAGTGGGCCTCTGCTCCTCTTATTGTGCCGAAGCCAGGGCCGGGGTTGTTTCGATTTACTGTGGACTTACGCCCAGTTAATGATCAGACCGAACCTGCAGTTTGGCCAATGCCCAACATAGACAGCGCGTTGTCCCAGATTCCTGGAGCCACATGTATCGCGTCTCTGGATTTCTGTCATGGGTATTGGCAGCTGCCACTCGATCGAGCCTCTCAGGAATGCCAGAGCTTCATTTGTCCTGATGGTGTCTACTCTCCTACACGTGTGTTGCATGGGCAAACCAACGCTGTGGCGTATTATCAAAGCAGCATCCAGGCTTTGTGCACGCCTTTGCCAGAGTTTTTGTTGCAATGGCTCGACGACATACTCGCACATTCAAGCTCACCCGGTGAGCTTATCTCACTGTTAGCTCGCTTCATTGCGATCTGCCGACAGTGCGTCCAGAAGCTGCATTCCCGCAAGTGTCGTTTGTTTTTACGTGAGGTGAACTGGTGCGGCCGACTTCTTTCCAAGGACGGTATTCGTTTAGAACCGCGTCGTTTATCCGCACTACTCGAAATCACAGAACCATCTACCGGTGCCAATCTGCAGCAATTCGTCTGTGCGGCGAATTGGATGCGTTCCGCCATCCCTACGTTCAACGAGTTAATTGAACATTTTTCTTCCTTGCTGGAGGAGGTGTACAGCAAGACGGGCAAGCAGACTCGCAAATCTGTCTCTGGCATTTCTCTCTCCTCCACTTCCTGGGGTGTTTCCCACCGCGCATGCTTTTAATGCTTTGAAGGAAGCCCTGCACCATGCCGCAATCCTGGCCCATCCAGATGAAAGTAAGCTTTTATGCCTCTTTACGCACGCATCTGATAAGCACTGGGCTGCTGTTCTTACCCAGATACCCCCAGAGGACAAAGACCTTCCATGTATCGATCAACGCCATCAGCCTCTTTCTTTCCTTTCCGGATCCTTCCGTAAGAGTGCTGCTAGCTGGTCTACGCCTGAGAAGGAGAGATTCGCAATAGTAGCAGCAGCTACTCGGTTGGACTACATGCTACTGCGGCAGTCCGGGTTCTGGCTCTTCACCGACCACCAAATCCTTACGTTCACTTTCAACCTAATTGCTGTGAACCCGAACATAGCTAAGCGTGTTGCCAGCAATATTGAGCGTTGGTCGATGAAGTTGGCTGCCTTTAGATACCACATTGTGCACATCACTGGAGAGGAAAATGTATGGGCTGATTTACTTTCCCGGTGGGGCGCAACTGTGTTCGCACGTCCCCCCCCCGAAGATCAGTTCCTTGTTGCTTGTCCCCGTCGCTCCTGCTCTTGACCCAGAATTCAAGTGGCCTTCTCACCGCGAGCTACTACGCTTGCAAACTGAAACTCTGAAGACACTCGGCGATTTGGAAGGGGATATCCCTCCCGTACAAAAAATGAACAAGGTTTACGAATTAACAACACATTTGCAGTGTGGATTCCCACGAAAGCTACCGACATGCAGCTTCGAATCTGTATCATTGGTCATTGCGGCCGTAGTGGCCACCGCGGGGCTGACACAACCTTTGCAAACATTCAGCGTCATTTTTATTGGAAGAATATGAGGTCTGACATTTCCGTCTTCTGCAACACATGCTTGCACTGCTTGGCTACTGTTGGCGGCAATCGAGTTCCCAGACCCCTTGCCCATGCCGTTCATTCTGAAAAGGCAAACGAACTCATACATTTCGACTTTTTGTATCTTGGTGAATGTGGCGCCGCAACGCCCTATTGCCTGATCATCAAGGATGATGCGACTTCCTTTGTATGGCTTGAACCCTGCGCTTCTGCAGATGCAGAGTCAGTTGTTGATGTCTTACTCCGCTGGTTTTCGTCGTTCGGTGTGGCATTGACCTGGGTTTCTGATCAAGGCTCTCATTTCAAAAACAAAGTCATTGACTCCCTCAATCGCCAGTTGCATGCATAGCATCATTTTACCACTCCGTACAATCCTCAGTCAAATGGTACAGTGGAGTCTGTAGTGCAATTTGCCTGTCAGGCCGGAACCAGGGCCAACGGTCCAGCGACAACACAACCATCAAACAACAACCAACAAGAGTTGCCGACGGCACAGCCCTACGGAGTGTCCGATTCTCCTTTTCCATTTAAGTGGGGTTTCGGCCCACAGTAGCTCAAGTCCCTGATACGGGGGGCAAAACGAAGAGGCCCGCCCCGGGAGGAATGGTGGTAGAGTCTTGTACAGGCAGTTGCTCGGCGAGTTCGGGGCGGTGATTAGGAAGCCGGGCCCGGTGGGTCGTAAAGCCAATGCTCGCGGAGCGCCTGTTACACCTTATACCCTTGAGGAGGTCTTCGACGGAGGCATCGCAACGCAGCCCGACGGGAATTAGCAAACACGTAGCAGCGCTACACCTCCGTACTGCCCGATGGCAAAGTACCCACACCAGAATGGTGGCAACCTGTATCCGATGGAACCAACACTGTCCTGTATACACAACAGGACCTTCGAGGAAGACGTCTTCGCAGCAGCCTCCGTCGGTGGACGTAAACAAGTAGCAGCGCTACACCCACGTGACGCCCGATGGCCAAGACACCTACACCGGTCCTGTCGCAACCAAAGCCGATGGCACCAACAACAAACAAAAGAACCAACACAAGAGCCCGATGACTCCAGTCGTCACAATGCGGATCGAAATCAGGCACTGTGGAACCAACACAAGATATGGGAATAGAAATAGAGATAGAAATAGAAAAGGATAGGTGAAATAAAGGAAAAGGAAAGGGAACCCCGGAGCGCAAAGGATAACGTAATCTGTGGTAAAAGGGAGCGTCTTAGGACAGACGGACTTCGACCAAGGTGATATTCAACTCTGGCAACTCGCGTTGTCTTTATTGACTTGGTCGGACAAAGGGCTAAGTTATATAGAGCCCCGCCGGGGCGAGTACAGTAGCTCCCGGCTCTAGATTCTAGATCTAATTAGTAAATAAATTAAATAATTAAAATAATCGTGCGCTTCGTCGCACACGTGTGTCCCCCAAACCCGGACTACAGTATCCAATTTTTTTCCTTTTTCACTTCTTTTCACCCCCCTTTTCAGGTGCGTATTGCACTACAGAGTCTATGTGCAAGGAAGTTCTCCGCGCCGTAAGAGCCCTCCTGTCCGAATTTCGCCTCAAGAAAACCGAGTGGCCGTCAGTCATTCGGATCGTCCAGAGCGTTCTAAGCCACTCCTCCCGTCCTAGTCTCGGAAAAAAGCGCCTGTCACTGCTTTCGCTGATCTCCCTGCCGATAACCCGCTTCGTACGCTTCTACCCCTTCAACCCGCCGAACCGTCAACATTGGCGTTTATCAAAGCTCAGCAGTTGATGCGAATTGGCTACATGACCCAATCCCTTGCCAACCTTCACCGACATGTTTCGGAGAGTCGCACACGGAAGCACCAGAACGAGCTCGATCGCCACAAAAAACGTACAGGTATTCGTCAGGCTAATTTTGAGGTCGGCGATTTGGTTCTCGTGGCTGCTCGTGAATCACACTCAGGAAGCAACTCGACGTCAAGTGGACGGGCCCGCGACGTGTCACTCTCTGTGATTCTCAGCTTGTATTTGAGGTTGAGGACCTCCTGAATGAAACTCGTTCTTTGTTACACGCTAACAGGCTTAAGTTTTACGCAGATTCCCGACTCGCTATCACGGAAACATTCCAGATAACATCGACCACGACGAGACGCATTACTATACAGTGATCAAGCTTCTTGGTTTGCGATACAACCAAGACCTCAAGCAGTTTGAAGTTCAGTGCGCGTGGCGTGGCTTCGCGCAGGAGGAGCTTACTTGGAAGCCCTTTCAGCATATGCCGGAAGACATTCCGGAAATGCTGGATAAGTTCCTTCAAGGCCATTCTAATCAGAAACTTGTGGACGCAGCTCGAGCAAGCTGACCTGCTCCTCTGAAGAGCGGATTGTGGCATCTAGGTGCCATCTGGTTCCATTTCGGATAGCATCCCCTTCTGGTGCTATTTGGTTCTATTTCGGATAGCATCCCTTTCTGGATTATCCCTTTTACTTGTGACCGTTTTTAGAGTTCTTCCTTTTATGGCATCTTTGCCTCTGTCTCACGTTTAGTCAAGACTTTGTAGTATCTGTTGTGCCAGCATTTAAGTTGACTCACTACTCACTAAACAGAGAGTCAGAGGACTACACTCTCGACTATCTTTTCTTCGTGCAGAAGCCAAACCACCCACCTTCAGATGTCTGCGCGGATTGGACTGGGGTTGTGCCATTAGGATCGGAATGACCCATTGTGACTTGAGGCTAAGGGTTGGGGGTGCCGAGTAAAATGTGTGTGGGGGGGGGGGGGGGGAGTGGATCGGATCTGAACGTCATGAACGCATGGGTTTCGGAACGACGTCTGAAACTAGAGTTGGACGCCGCCAAAGCGTGATGCGGTTTAGCATGGATACGTCTTACACGTGGACACGTGCGTATGTTACGATACCAAGTGACAAGGAGGGAGGTATAGCACTATATAGAGAGAAGCACTACTAAAGTAGGCACTATTGGATGACCCCCCATTGTACTGTATCACTGATGACTTCTGGGACTCCAAAGATGTGCAACCTTCACATTCAGATTAACCGTGGTACACAGATCAGTACCCTGAAGAAGTTCAGCCCTGGCACGGTCTCGACTGTTCTCGCTCCTGTCGATCCAGCCATGGCTGCAGCCAATATCAAAGCGTCTTTCAAGAGTAATTCTCAGATTTGAAGGGACATCCACTTCCAGTCCTTTAGTCTCATTATCCGCAGCCTGCAAGTAAACCCACGTGCGCTGTTCCCTGTTCTACCAGTGACCGACACTGTTTCCCTTGTAACGGCTTGTTTGTGTGTCGAGGTCCGGGGGTGTGCATCATTCGTTCGTCTTCCATCCCTCAATCACATTTCCTGTGCACTCAATGTTGACAGAGTAAACATATTTCGCTGTTGGGAAATTTCCTTGGAAGCTTTGGGCGTCTATCTGGTTTGCTTCGACAAGGACTTCGCGCATTTCGGGTTTTCAACGGAGACGGCGTGTGTTCTTCTTCACTTATGCGCTGTGGTCGGGAGATAATGTTCCTGCGGGAACACGAGTCGTCATCCCCGGCGGCCATCATTTTTGACGCATTCTCAAGCAGGAAAACTGCAAACTTTAGCCTCTCACAATTACTCTTGTTGTGCTTCAAATGCGATAGGAGCATAGAACGACAAGGCCTGTGATGTTCCCTATGCTGAAGCGATGCTAATCCCAGCTATATCCGCACCAAATAGCCCCGCTCCTCACATGCGATGAACATGGGATTCGTAGTTAAGACGAAACATCGCAAATTCGTGTCGCTCATCGACAGGAACATTTTCAAGACCTATTCCAGAAGCATCTTCTGTAAGCTCGGGACGTCTTCCCCGGCTGCCACGTCATCTATCCACTTAGAGATGAGGTTGATGCAGAATTCATTATCGATGCAATTCACTGCCGTCTCGAAGTCTGCCTTTCTCAAATTCAAGTCAGACGAATAAATCGCAAACCAAGCTGGCTCGATATTCTTGATCTCATTCAAAAACTCTTTCCGCAGTTCAGTCTGTTCGTACTGAAGAAGATGTTGCACGTACACCTCGTTAATCTCGCTGTCCTCGGCCAGCCCGTTTTCGTCCATTGCGTATGTGCTTCTATTTGGCATCTCCATTCGTTCTCTTCCCCGAAGAAAGTATGGAATTTGACATACCCTCCATAACGGTAATGCAGACACGCATTCCCAGTCAATAATTGCAGTAAGATTCCCGTCCTCATCAACCATGATGTTCTGTTGAGAGAGGTCATCATGAAAGAGGGCTGTTTCTGATGTTCAGACTATTGTCGAACCTGACGAAAAACCTAAACGCAGTCGAAAGGGGGAATACTGTTCTGCTGTGCTTTGATTCACTGCCAATGTTTGGACTGATAGAGTTTACCGTTCACCTCCTTGTTCCTACCGCACTCAGGCCTACTTGGTGACTGAGTACAGAGGAATTCTCGGGGGGGGATCTACCGCTAAGTGTTTTTTGTAGAGTTACCTAAAAGCCTTATATATCCGATATCCATGCAATTTGGTTTTCCGTTCCAGAGCCTCGTAGCACTGTCCAGTTGCCCGAAATGCCTTCCAGCTATCCGTTTGCTTCTTATGCTACCCGTCTGCAGCTGGATCGAGTGGCATGGCGTTGTTCTCCCTCTGCCGTTACACTTGGGATCCACATATGATTCATTGCTGTCGGTACTGTAGTCCAACAATGTATGTATCTCCCTGAATCAATAAAAACCTCGTAAGTTATCTATTATGTCGCCCCTTGTGGTTGCTCCCAACAAAGTACAGACATGGTGCGTCAAACGACAGTTTCTTCCACTTCATGGTTTAGGTTGAATTTAAAAATTGAAGGGAGAAGCGAGGCAAGTCTTCGCTCCAGTATAGCGACCTGCTCCGCCATATCAATATCATCTTCATCTCTCGACGTTTCAATAATGTCCTTGCTTTCGTGACGGTGCACAAGCAACCGGGCGTGTAGCCAACTTCGGCTTGAACGAAATGGACCTCGGGGGAAGTCTTGGGTTGAGCGATCATCCCAAAAGAATTCATTCGACACAATTCGGCCGACTCGAAACTTTGTCTGGTCAACAGCGTCATCTCAGGACGTGGCGGAGTGATAAAGGTTCCCTATGCCTTGGATTCGGGCACGGAATAGCTGGACAAAATGAAGTGCAATACGCTTTACCAAAGCCCGCTTGCTTTCTAGCGGTAGTGATTCCAGTGTTGCCTTAGCGGTTTTCCAGGCATGTGCTCTAGGACCATCCATTCGAAACGAAGAGCATTGTCGTTTGAAGCGTCAAATGCAATGACAGTGGGGACGCGGGCATCTGTGTTTTGCTGGATAAAGTCGAGGGTTGCTGCCTCGCTTTGTGTCTTACGACGGGGATCAACTGGAAGTGTGACTCGCATAATGTACTCGGCATCATCATGTTGTACTTTGTACACCTTATTGAATCCCCCTTGAGCCAAAAATGTGACGATGCAAGCTTGGGATTGACCAAGTACGTCTTTTACGATATCCTTGATCGCATCAATTGAAGGTTCTTGAGTCCATCTGGGCTCGGCGCCAAATATGGTCTTTCCCCACTCAAGTCCATACTGCGCGTGTGGTGGCATGAGATCGGGAGATCAGGGCGGTGAGGCCTGCAGAGGGCCAAATTGCCACTGAAGAGCGGACTTAACCGAATTGACCTGGTAGTGCTACAGTAGTAAGGAACGGCCTGGTTGCTGCGACGGGGAGGTGGGCGAATGCACAACAGCGAGGGGTACAGTACCAAGGTACCGTTGGTACTACATACTGTAGCCAATCTGAGGCTGCAGTGGACAGGGCTGTCCAGCGCATGAAACAGATGTGCGAGTCGACAATTCTCTGTTCAGCTAGACGTATTGTATTCCCGGTGGTCGCCAGCTCACTATCAGCGCTTGTTGAAAGGTGTGGGAGGGTGGGCTGGGGAGTTCGTGTCTTGTGTCTATCCGACCGTTGTCCTCATATGAAGTCACGTTTCGACATCCTTTCTTGCCTTGCGCTTCCTCGACAAGAAGGAGAAAGATCCCCTCGCCACCCTACTCGATTTTTGACATGTGGAAGGAAAGAGATTAGTGAGAACTTCATGTTCTTGAAGTTCGTCTTTAGAAATATCTGGAAAAGAAGCTTTCTCAAACCAGCTTAAAATCGCATGTCATAAAACTTGGAAACGAAAAACGCCACTTTCAAAAAGGTGACTGGGAACACAATCTGCACCACATTCCTGGGTGAGAAGTAATAAGAGATAAGACAACAGAAAGCTGCAGTGAAACTGTACAGAAAATCAAGACACCACCCTTGTACCCAAACCAATACTGTACAGAAATCAATGTAATATTTCAATAGTGCACTGACATGTGCATCAGATGCACATGCCAGTGCACTATTGAAATATTACATGCACTGCATCTGCCGGATGTAGCACTATTCGGGAGATGTCGACCGCACTTCTAATGCAATCTCACAGGGCCAATTGCCCACTGTGACCTGACCTTACCGTAATTGGCGGGCCCATAGTGTGAGTTGGGTTGACCACACGCCGGTCCTGCTCAGAGATGGCACGGACGGTCCTTGGACGGTCTTGTGCGAGTCATTGCGGCATAACACCCACCCAGCTCACGGCCCTGATCACACGACATCCAACGCGAGCCAAAGTCGGGGCGTTCCTTCGAAGCCTGACCAAAGCACCCCCACACGTCATGCCACATCGCCGTCATCGTGGTATTGTTCGAAGCTTACAACGTATCGCGGTCACATCACGCCCTCCGAACAAACGCTTGCTAGTCCGAAGGTAGCCCCACCACTAGCCTTGAATATAGTGTGCCTGAGAGTTGAGAACACTCCGTTCCCTCGACACCGGCTTTAGGAGCCACGTTCTAGTATCAGGGGATTCCGTTCAGCGCGGAGGACGAAGCTTCATGCTCCCTATCTGGCCATTCGATTCGAAAAAGCCTTCGAGAATCACGCAGCCAGAGGAAAGTACCTTGAGCACAGGTGCACAACCCCTTCACAACAACCTTTCTCTGCGAAAGACTTAGTACTCGTTTACTGCTCTCCCCCGTCGCAAGATGCACATAGTAAATAACACCATCACCACGAGTTACGACGGCTCGCTCACCATTCCCGTCCGTCGCAAACGCAAAAAATGTCCCCGAAAACGTGCAAAACTCCCTCCCCCTCCACTGCGCACTCGTCAACTTCCAAACACAACTCGCCTTGTTCTTACAAAACGTGTATCTTATAAGCAACCCGCTCCACCATGCGACGATAATGTCTCCATCCCTCGTGAACCGTATTTGCGTGAGACGGTCACATAAGTCGATGCGATCTGGCACACCAATCACAACAGAAGCATCCGCATCCAAGCTACCCCACAAAGCGATCTGGCCTGCCATGGAACCTACAGCGACGGCGCCTCTCTCAGAGACATCGACGGCGACGCAAGGGTGGCTGTCGGATCCGAGTAGGAGTTGTAGGGCAGTTGCCTTTCGACTGGCAAGGCGGGACACGAAAACGCCGTCGAATCCAGCGACGGCGGCCATGGCTGTGCCATCTAACAGTCGAGTGACGGATAGATCTGTGGGTTCGACGTGAAGTCGGGTCGGGCAGGACACGGTGATTTTTGCAGAGGCGTCTGTGAATATTAGGAATTGGTTGAGAATGGTGGCGAAGAGGTCCTGGGTGCCGGCGGCGTGGGCTTTGACGGGGAGATGGGACGCGGGGAAGGCGAAGGCGGAGTCTGGTGTGGAGAGATGATAGGAAGTGGCGGCCAGTTGGGAGACGTTGGAAGAAGTTGGAGTGGAAGCAAGGGCGTTGCGCATGCCGACGGCGGGAGCGGGAGGGTCTGGTAGGCCCATCACAAAAGGTCAGAAGGTCGGTCGTGGGTAACGGCTGAGAGCAGCTGGTCTACATGACCGGGATGGAGGCAGTTGGAATGCGAGAGAAATGTGGGCTGGTGCGAGTGGTATGTTTTACATTGGCGATGGTGGCACGCCAGGAAATGATTTTGAATCAAAACTCCGGATGAGCACTGCTGTATGACGCACAACTAGAATGAGAAAAGCGTGCCCTTGGCTGCTCTATGGTAGATGCAACTACTAATTGTTCGACTAAGTGGACGAAGCTGCCGGGAATAGACACGGAGAGTTGCCGCAGCGCTCAACGCTTCAGGACTCGACAACGGATGCGTTTCCCCCCTGGAAGACCGCGTCCCGTGACGAATGCACACCTCCATCTCTACCGGGGGAAAATAAAAACGGACAGATGAGAAGACTATCGCCGCCCTGCGTGGATGGCGGCCATTTGCTGCTTGTGTGAGATCTTCTTTTTGGAATGCTTGACGGTCCTCTCCGCGGCGGCGGCAAGGCGGTTGAGAACGGGCAAGGTTTGCGGGCGAGCGGAGGTAAATGAGGGGAAAGGGGTGTTGGCGGCAAAGCCGGCAAGGCTGATATGTGGGGTAGACATGCTGAGAAAGAGAGATGGGGAGTTGGGGTTGGAGGAGGAAGCGGGAGGAAGAAAGCGGGAGGAGGAAGGCCGGGGACGACGATGGGCAGGACATATAAATACAGAGCGGGCATCGGGTGGCGGGTGAAAGGTCAATCAGGATAGAATGCGTAACCAATGGACTGAGAGTTGGAGACACGCCACCCGGAGATGGGAGCTGGATGCGAGCGTTGTCACCACAAGAGCAAATGTGGTACGGTAAATGTTGTCTGGGAAGGCGGATGGATGGTTGGGTGCGCGACATCCCGCCATTCCAAAGCACTGCGACAAATGCACCATATCTTGGTCCAACCATCGCTGCCCGCAACCATCGCTGCCCGCACTTGCGAGCACATCAGTCTTCGCCTGAAGACCCATAAACGTACCCTTGCAGCAGACTCTACAATATCTTAAGGCTTAATGCTGCAATCAGTAGGGGGACAAGGTCAAAATCTTTCGGTGTCAGGGGGGGACACAAATGGTCCCTGCTCCCTTGTGGTTGGTTGTCTATATTACGTTTCCTAAAAAATGGTCATGCTCATTAAAGAAATAAACAATCGACTTAAAATTAATCTTGTTCTCCAACTTCCTGTAATGCTCCTTGCAATTCTAAAAGATTTAAACCCCATTCAAATAAGCAAGAATTGCGTTAACACATGCACATGCAAAGCCGTGGAAATGTGCTTACAGCTACAAGTAGCACACGTTGGAGAAAGGAACGATGCAGAACGACGTTAAATTAATGTCGTGATCGCGTGATTGCGTGATTGCATGATTGCCAATCACGATGAATGGAATGGCCCTCACAGCCTCAAGCCACTTACTTCGTCACTACCCGCGATTTCGGGTTGTTTTTTCATTTTTGCTTTTTGCTTGTTTATTCATGCAGAAACTGAGAAACTTCATGATTCTTCATGAAGAAACGACTTTAGACAATGGGAGACACTGCATGGAGATGGGCTACAGGGACCCTAGGAAGGCATGGGGGATCTCGATTTCGATGGTTGATCGCGATTATCGGTGGGTCGCCTGAAGAAGGCCGAAGTGGTGATTTTTTCATTTTGCAGCATTATCTGGCAGTTTTTGCGCGCAATTGCGCGCAAAAACATGATTCAATGAAATCGCGGGTCACTACCCATGCCCTCGCTACTACCCATGCCCTCGCTACTACCCCCCTTGCCCTCGCTACTACCCCCCTTGCCCGCAGCCATATCTTCCACAAATGCCACTCTCCGAACCCCGCTCCCATCGTCCAGTGCCGTGCAAGTCAGCCCCGCTGCGTCCCGGATGTCCAACCTCTCCATCATCTTTGCTGCCAAGCTACTATAGGTCACGGGCACCCCTTCCGTCCTCGTCCGCCTCTTCATCAAAGATAATGCTGCCGCTCCGGCTCCCGTCAGGGCGACCAGCACGCAAAGCACCACCAAAGCCCAAGAACTCACCTCAGCCCGCTCAGGCCCACGAACAGGTTCTTGACTCTCCACCCTCAAAACGTCCCTTCTCTCCAGTTGTGTGATACCATACAGCGTCGCCCCGCTAAACGTTCGTATCGCCGGCGAGAGCGCTAGCGACATCGTCGCGTACGTCAACCTTCCCCTTGTTCCATACGAAACGGCAAAGGTCTTGATCGCCGCCAGGTGGTCTCCGTCCATGGCCTCGCCTCGGTCATCATCGAGATCCGGAAGGAATTTTGCCCGGAAAACCCCATCCCAGCCAAAGACTCGAAGACGGTCGCCAGCCTCCATCTCGCGCAGCTTTCCGTCATACGTAGAAAGTACCATGAATCCCGGTACGATGAAGCGGTAGTCCTGACCGTCAGTGAGGTAGCAATACACATGCGGGCTATCTTTAGGATCTAACAGGTCAGCGTTACGGTCCACGGTGCACACCCCGGAAACGGATTTAACAAAGTCCCCCTGGTTATAATAGCCCTGAGACAAATCTAGTTCGCCAGAGACTTGCATATCCACATCTTCGTCGCGAAAACCGAGATTAACATCGAGAATTTCATTGACGGTGAGGTTGGCGAATGCAAAACTGAACGGTTCCTCAACGTCGTCCAAACCCGAATAGGACACGTCAAAAAGGACTGCCGGAAGTTTGGGCTTGAACTCGCCGTCATCAGCACATGTGGGCTTGGCACTGAAAAACAAGGCCGAGTCGTTGCGGACGAACTCGTCTGTTATGAAGCCTGCGGATGCATAAATGCGAAGGCGGTGTTTCTCTTGCCTTTGAACGCAGGCGGTCTGCAAGCGCGCAAGCCTGTCGATCCATCGGCGGGGCGAGACGCCTTGCATTGAACGGGAGGCGGTCAGAGTGGGTGGGGGCATCTCCTGGGAGGTAGTTATTTCGAGGGGGGGAAGGTTCTTGAGCTCCTGAGTGCTGGAAAAGCCAAACTCTACAGAAATAAGGAAGGCGTTGAGGAGGATGACGATAACCCATGGGAAAAAAAAGTGGAAGAGTTTGCGCTCGCGAAGGCGATAGGGGACGTGGAAGAATGTGATTAGTCCGTCAGCGATTTGGACGTTTTCGCCGCGTCGGAGACGGTTTTTGGCGATGAGGGAGGATAAGCCTTCGATACAGTAGTGGAGAAGCTTGATGATGAGATACTCGATGACGAGAAAGCGGAGGACGTTGGCGACGGGGGTGCTGAAGGGAAGTTGGACCATGGTTGGGGATGGTGTGGGAGATGATACGAAAGAAGGGGGGTGGGTGGACATTGCGAAGAGGCAATGGTGGAGGGGAATGTTACTGAGGGTTTGAGCGGACGCGGAAGAGGAGTACGAGGTGTTGATAGGCAAGTATCGCAGCGCTACTCATGATGTGGGCAGGGAAGATAGAATCGAAATTCGGCGGCTCGTTTTGATAAATGTGTCCGTAAATTGACGAGGCTGGAGAAGCAGATGCTCGACAGCAGTCGGCTCGACAGCAGTCGGTTGACAGCAGTCGGTTGACAGCAGTCGGTTGACAGCAGTCTGTCGCACAACAAGTGCTGTGGACTGTGGCACACGGAAAGAGGGAAAGGAGAGGTGTGTGCAATAAGTCTGATAGGTGGGTTGGCACATGGATACTATAGTATGATGGCAAAGACGTTGCTTACTGTAGCAAGTTGGTCAGACGGAGGCCCTTGCCATTTACAATAGGATATAAGGCTGGTACCTTCGAGGGTACATCACTGCCAGAACACCGCCCTGTCTTTAAATATAGTTAATCCACTTCGATAGCGATGGATGAAAAGAGACGTTGCTTCCGGCCGCAGGAGCGAACACTGGATACGACGGTATGTCCAGTATCATACTGGACATACCGTATCCAGTGCTCGCCACCATGATGGTACAGTACGAGCGAGTACTGTGCCAACAATCAGGAGGGGGATCTTTCCCCGCTACGCCTTCCCATTGGCTCAATATCAAGCTCAAGCCCGCCCCTCATCCTCCTGCCTGCCTCATCTGCTGTAACCGGTTAAAGTTTACACCGGCTACAGTGCGCGAAATTGAAATACAGGGGGGTATCTCAATAGTGCCTTCTTTAGTAGTGCCTCCCTCAATTTAGTGCTATGGCTCCCCCTCTGGCACAAGTTATCATAAGCCCACATGTGTATCATCTGGCATGGTTCAGTGTTACGATATGGAGGTGCAACGGCTGGAAAATATGGCGACGAGTACTCCGTACTCAAAGAATTGAAGTTCTACGTTTTTAGTTGTGTTTTACGGGCTTTTTGTGCTTGCTTGTGCTTTGTTCCCAACTATATGTATCTCAGCTTCCTTTATATAGTGGTATCCCTCCCATAGTGCCATAGCTAGAGGTATGTCACGGTATAGCACTATATCCTAGGAGGCACTGTATGTCGATACTCTCCATGTTTAATTGACCTGGCGAATGCCCAAGTCTTTGCCCTGAGATTAACTTGGCAATAAGATGGTGATTATTTTAAGGGTGAAATCCATTGGGGTGTGCGGAAGACTTCGAAAAAGTCTAATAAAAGCTCCTTAGTTCGAAGATGAGCCCGGTATTGTCCATTTGGGCCATTGTGATCTGGTCAGGACCACATCAGAACCACTTACAGCAATTTGGGCCGGACCGGCCTGACCCACCTGGACCACCCGGGCCCGACGCGAGCACCAGGATTTGGCGCCGGCGGGTGTGCACTTGCCTTCTGACGGACCGCAAGGACAGACTGTCCGCATTACAGTCTGTCACACGCGGTACTTAGACCCACGAGACGGCGACGACGAGTAAAGACAGAACCATGAGGATTACGATTCATCAGGTTATGGCCCGCTTCGCTTCACTGCTCAACACACCGAACATCGAATAACAAACTGGATCGCGCTTACCCCAAGCACCCAGGACCGGCACGCACCCGCCGCAGCCAACCCCCAGTGCAACACCAAGCCGGAACGGAAACGCCCAACACAAGGCAGCCCCGTCCCGAATCCTCATCAATCCCACCCACACTGCCTCCCGCAGACCTCCTCTACATCCCACCGCAACACCCACGCGCCCACTCCAATCCCACAATCATGGACCGCCGTGACATCCCCAAACTCGAACCGTCGAATTACGGTCCCTGGCTCATCGCGCTCCGATCAGCCGCATACACACACGACGCCATTGATCACCTCGAAGGCAACCCGCCCACCCCCGACGATGATCAAGACCTACACACACACACGATAGCGAAACACACGCTTATCGGCAAGATGATCGCGACCATCTCCGCAGACATCCTCAACCTGTTGCTAATGCCCGACGAGCAGCCCACCCCGTACGACATCCTACAAAAGCTCACAGTTCACCTCGACACCACAAATGCCAGCGACCACATTTATCTCAAGCAACTGACAGAGCAGTGTCAAATCGAGGAAGGTCAGACTGTATACGAATACGTCAAACGCCACGAAACTATCCGAGCACAAATGATCGCCGCCCGGTTCCCCGACATATCCAACCCATCCACCACAGTGGACTACATGATAGACGGCCTGAAAAAGAACCCCAACACAGCACAAATAGGTCTCCAGCTGCTCTCCCTCCAACTGAAGAACATCAAAGACTTCGTGCACAAGTACAACAGGATCGACAACTATCGTCTCGCCATCCAACCAAGCAACCCTTGGCAAACAGCAACACCCGCACACCCCAAATACAACCGCACACCGAGACAACGTGCACCCCGTCACACCACACGACACCCCATGGCATACCACCCCAACGCCTGTCGACACCACATCTCCAAAGGTTTCCGGCGCCTGCAGCACTCCGACGCCGAGTGCCGCGATCCGACACACCCGCGACACCAGAAAGCCTCGCGCAAGAAAGCGTTTCCCAAAGCC